CCCCCGCCCTGGGCCAGCCTCCGGGCGTCCACGGAGCCATCCCGGCCCGGCCCTGGCACGCTCGGATTCTTGCCACCTTGAGCCAGCCTGTACCAGCCTCGCCCGACCTTGGGAGGCAAGGAGGCCAGCGCTGAGCCTCCTAGCGAGCGGAGAAGGGGGCCGGGGCCGGTGCGGAGCCCCTCCCCGTGGGGCAGCCGTACCCGTGTGGGTCTTCATGTGCTCATCAAAGTACTGCTTCATGTTGAAGTCCTTGCCACACCACTGGCACATGAACTGCTTGTGGCCGATGTGGATGCTCATGTGTGACCGCAGCTGGTACTTGTACTGGAAACGCTCGTTGCAGTTCTGAGGGCGGGGTGGAGGGTGAGGGGGTGAGACCCGGCGCAGAGCGGGGAACAGCCTTCAGGGAGGGAAGTGCTGGCCCGAGACCACAGGGCTGTGGGAAGGACTCACATGGGGAGGGGCTCCTGGGCAAGGAGGTGTGGATGCAAAGGCCAGCCGAGGTGCTCCTGGGGTGGGGCAGTGCACGGGCACAGGTGGAGAGGCCATGGGCATGCAGGGCCCAGGCAGGAATGGGGGTCAGGAAGTGGGAAGAGGCCACAGAGTGGAGGGAGCCCTCATGCTTAAGGCCCTCCATCCTTCCTCCTGGTCCAAAGGCCCCCCCTCCTCCCCACCTGCAGCTCCAATACTCTGATCTGTCTGCCTAAGATGCTCCTTTCTCCACCTCTCCGGGAATCCTGCCCCATGGTTCCAGCCCACGCAGGCTTCCCACCCTGAACCTTCGGGGGTTGGGTTAGGGTGGGGTGGCAGGGGTGTGGGGGGAGGTGCAGGTGGGCAACCAGGTAAGGATGGAGTGGGAGGCAGACATCAGGGAGGGGCCCCTTTCTTTCTGCATCCTATACTCCAGTACCCCAACCCCTGGTTTTTAAGCAGCCGCTGCCTCTGATCCCTGCCCCCGTCCAGGATGGCTCCTGGGGCAGGAGGAGAAGGGAGCTCACCTCGCATCTGAACGGCTTCTCCCCGGAGTGCTGCAGTGAGTGCACCTTGAGAGACATGCTGCGTTTGAAGGACTTCCCACAGGTCTCGCAGGTGAAGGGCATGTCCTTGGTGTGGGCTACAGGGCAGGCACCATGGCCATGACATCTCGGGGGGGACCCATCTGGCTCCTCCCAGGGGACCCCTGCCTGACCACCCCCCCCAGATCCAGCCCAGATCCCGCCTCGCAGGACACCACCTACCCTGGGGCCTGCCCCACAGCCTCTGTCCCCCAGGCGAGGCCCCTTCCCTCCCGGCTAGGTCTCTCTGTTTGGTCAGACAGGCATGGAGGCCCTCTTGATTCTTTAGCCTCTGGCCTCACTCCCAAAGCTTCGGGGAAAGATAGAAGGATTTCAAGTGGGACTGGCCTCGGCTCAAATCCTGGCTCAGCCACCGGCTCCCTGCATGGCCAATGTGTGCCTCAGCGAGCCTCAGCACCCTCTTCTATAAAAAGAGGGTAGAGTGGACTTGGGCCTCCAGGGTGGCTGGGTTTTACAGAGGGTGGCACCTGTAAAGGCCTCAGCCTTGGGTCCCATGCCATCCAGAGGGAGTTAGTTACCTGCGCTCCTCCCAGAACAAACTCCAAGGAAGATCTGGGAGGAAGCAGCTGGAGACACGGAGGGCCCCCCTCAGAGTTCAGAGCTGGGGAATCCAAGCCCAGGAAGGACCACCAATCCTGGGTTACCCAGCATGCTTCTGGCCGATACCTAGACCCCGGGGTCCCAGCTCCCAGTCAGTTCATGCTGGAGGCCTCTAGCACTGTCTGGTAGACAACGGGGGTAAGGCCTGGCCAGGGCACACTGCCCCTCCTTGGCTACCCCTCCCTAGAGCTCCAGGCCCCAAGCGGGCAAAGGAGGGAGGGCCGCCTGGACACCAGACTCCCAGCCAAGCCCACCTAGAGGGGAGGGAGAGCCACGCCCAAGGCAGTGAAGTGGCCCAAAACACACTTGGGGGCCTCCTTACCGTGTCCAGGTATGACCCCTGGGGGAGGGCTGCATTCAGAGAAGCCTGAAGCCCTATCAGAGGCACAGCTGTCCTCAAACTGAGACTGGGCCTGTGTCAGCCCATATGGCACTTCATGTAATTTAGAAAGAGGTGCTCTGGTGGACACAGCCCCATGTCAGGAGGCACAGCCTGGTTGGCAGTGTGCCAGCTGGATTCTGGTCCCCACCTGCCATCTCGTCCAGGAGTCCTTGTGCCATGTGCAACCTGCCCAACTGAGCATGGCAGCCCTGGCCCCAGAGCCTGTCCAGGACACACCTGCCACTGCCAGCAGCCCCCCACCCCCTACCTCCCAGCTACGGGGTGGGGGGGGGCCTTCTCACCCCTTCATATTGCCCTTGGCTTGTGAAGTGTTTCCCAGAACACCCAGCAGCTGGCCCACTTGGACCTCAGGCTCCAGCCCTCACCAGCCTGGACTTACCGACCATGTGCTTGCGCACATGAGCCATGGTGTAGAACTTCTTTTCACAAATCTCACAGGAGAACTTCTTTTCTGCGTAGCCGTGCACAATCTTATTGTGCTCGTGGAGGGACCAGAGCTTCTTAAAAGCTTTGCCACACGTCACACACTGTGGGGTGAGAAGGCTTTAGGCTCTGGGCCAGGACCATGTGACCTAGGACTAGTCACTGCCCCTCTCTGGGCCTCAGTTTCCCCACCTGAACTGTGCTGGAGAGAGAGGCCTTGATGTGCGAGGACCAGCCAGATGTGATGTTCGGAGAGCTGGGGGTGGTAACTCCCTAAATACTTACCCACCTACCCACCCACCCAGGGTGGGTCCCTCATCCTGAACTCACTAGGGTCAGGGGCCACCTCTTCCAGGAAGTCCCTCCTCTGTGCTCATTTCAACAAGGCATCTTTCTACAAAGAAGAGACACATGACTGGCTGAAGGACCACAGTGGGTGAGGAGGCTACTCAGTTCATGAAGTCCCTCGGATAACAGGTCCTGGCAGAGCTGGGCCATTATCTCTGCTGCCTCCCCCTGCTGGGACCCATGCCCTGACACCATGGAGATCCCCAAGGAGACAGATTCCAAAGGACCGGGGACTGTAGGAGGTACAAGGGCCTATCAGGCAGTAGACGGTGGCGGGAACCTTGAGGGCCCCGCTCTCCTCCTCCTCTTCTGCTGGGCCCTTGTCCTCCGCATCCCTGCAGCAGGCCAGGGCTCGGGCAGAAACTGGCTCAGGGTGCCCAGGACAGAAGAGGTACAAGCGTCCTTCCCCTTCAGGAGGGCAGCTCAGGTGTGTGCACACGGAGAGTCAAAGGGCAGCCCAGCAGGCAGGCAAGTGGGAGCGTGGGCACAAGGGTGGGGCAGGAATCCAGGTAACCCCAGATAACACTTTCTCCACAGGGCACTGCAATTAGCAATTGGTTCAGGCAATTAGCACCCGCCTACCTACTGCCCCCCAACCTCACTCCCAGTCAGAAAGGGCAAAACCCAGCCTGGCTGGCCCTGTGCTGCCTGCACCCTGAGAGGCCGGGCTGGCCCAGACTCAGGCTGGCTCAAGGCTTGGCAGCCAGCCCAACTCCCCTGTTTGGCCCCGGCAGCCCCTGTGCTGCCCAACTGCTCATCCGGTCCCTCTTCCCGGGCCCAGGCCAGCCGGTACCTCCAAAGAGCTGAATGAATGCAGGGGTTTCTTCCTGCTCCGCTGCCCCTTGCTCCTTTCGGCCTTTGCAGGAAGTGGGGAACGGCGCCCCCTTCTGGGCAAACCCCTCCTCCCCTCATCTGTGCTTTCGCGCAGTGCACAGTCTGAGGACCTATACATGGTGGCCCCGTTGGCCTTGCGGCAGCCCAGAGATTTACTAAAACACTGACTCATCCCTCCTCAGAGCTGGCTGTCCCCCAGCCTCACACGCTCAGACAACTCTCATCCTCCCGCGTCCGGGCTCCCCTCTGCCCCTCTGGCCAAGGGTACTGTTTGTTCTACCCCTATCTGCACGTCTCTGCACGTGCTGAAGCCCAGCTCTATCCACCTCCTCCAGGAAGCTCTCCCTGACGTTGTCCCTTGAGCTCTCACCACCCTGGGCTCACCCGTGGGCCTGGGCTGGTCCCACTGTCCAGGGGGCCAAGCCTGGTCTCTGCAGACTGTGTGGGCAATGCAGGCAGCAGGACACTGGGTGCCCGGGGCCCAGTTCCAGCCTGGCCCAGCCTGGCCCAGCCTGGATGGCTGCCCCCGTGGGCCCCGTGAACCCACCCCGAGGCCCACCTGGATGTTGCGCTCGCAGTCTGTCTGCCGGTGTAGCAGCAGCTCACTCTCTAGCAGGAAGCGCTTGCCGCACTGGTCGCAGATCTGCATGCGGCTGTGGGTCACGTTCATGTGCTTCTCCAGGTACCAGCGGTTGTTGAAAACACGCGGGCACTTCTGGCACGGATGGTGCTGCTTCTCCTCCAGCTTCACCTTGGCCCCCAGACCGTCAGCGGCCTGTGGCCCTCGGGCTGGGGCAGGAGACCCTCCTGCAGGTGGCTTCGGCCGCTTCCCACCCTGCCGCCCAGCCTCCTCAGGCTCGGGGAGGCCCCGGCGCCGGGCGGACCGCGTTGCCATGCGACTGTGGGGAGGGGCGTCTGCCCCGCTCCCGCGGCACCCGGCCCCCTGCCTGCCCCCCGCCTCCCCGTCCTCCTCCCCCTCCTCCCCCTCCTCCTCCTCCGAGCTCTCCAGGCCCTGCTCGCTGTGCCCCTCCCCCTCCCCCTCCCGCTCGCTGTGCCCCTCCCCCTCCTCCTCCTCCTCGCCCTCTTCCCCCTGACTG